TCATGAGACAAAGTAAACATCTTTTTTACAATCAGATACTGAAGTTCCCCTAGCACCACTAATTGAACAATTCATCCCTTCCCCTCTGACTTTTGTTGCTATCTCCTCTTACAGGTGTTAAATTCACAACCATTTGCACCTAAAAGCAAAGACAGGAAACAACCTAGTGCTCAAATGGAATGTGATAATGCAACTGAAGGAGGTGTGGGAGGGTAGGGGGGGTTGGGGTGGAGGCAGATGGTTGCCAGGCAGTAGGTCAGCAAGTTGCAACCCAGAGTAAAAGAAGTAGAAGGTAGAAAAAAGCCTCCATTCTGTCAAACAAGTGTTCCTTAAAGAATCCATTCTTGTGTGTGACATACTTGCTCTTATGATGTTTGGCTAATCACTCCATGTGTGTAGACCTCAGGCTCCTCATGCATCATGTGCAGATAGTGATAGTATCTACATCACAGGGTACTGTGTACCTGAGACCTAACCCAAGCAAGGAGCACATGCTTTGGAGTCAGTTAGCCAAGCTTCTCATCCCTGGCTCTACTACTAACTGGTCCTAGGTAGTTTCCTAATTTTCCAGCCTGTTTCCTCATCTGAATATGTGGCAACTAATAATAATATTAATAGTAATTATAAAGTAATAACTATCTTATGGAATTGCTATGAGAATTAAAGAGATACTGCATTTGAAAGGCGACTGGCACATAAATAAGCTTTCAATAAATCACAGTAGTATTGTGGTGATTTTAATTTTTGTCCCTATTATGGAAGGATCAGGAAGAGAAAGAAGGTTCAGCAAAGAAAACTGAGAACTAGGCACAAAAAGGTCTGGGTGGAGAAACTATGAGATGGGTGTCTTGGAAACCAAGGGGGGAAAGTGTTTAGAAGGAAGGATATAATGCAAAAGGTTATTCAAACGTTAGTTTCTCCTGACAAAAGACTCATTTCATCTCTGAGCAACTAATGAGAATAAAGAAAGAAAGGAAGGAAAAGACCTATATGAAGGCTATCAAACATAAAATTCTCTAAAAGCCATACATTGGCTAACTCTTAATCTGATCAGAATGCCATATTGTGCCATGTCTTCCAAATAAAGAAAATATATATTTCTTGAATAAAGGAAAAGCCAGTGTCACACAAAGTGAAATAAAGTTTCTGGTTTTTGTCCTTTTGGTGAAATAAAAATTTAGACAATTTCAAGTTTACACAAGAAAGAGGATGGAGGAGGGCCGAAAGGGGATGCATCACAGAAGTTTTCAAAGCAGCAATCTATACTGAACCCTAAAGCAGCTCCAATGGAAAGGAGGGTGGTGGAAAGTGTAGCATTTATTTATTTTTCCTTTTACTCTACCTGAGCCCAGAAAGAAATTATGATAGCATGGATTGTTTATCTGAGTAAGTCATTCAATGTGGGAAGGATGTGGAAAATCATTGCACTTTGAAGTAGAAGAGTGGAGCAGCATTTCCCTCACCACTTACCTTTTTTTAAATTTGTTATTTAATTAATTAATTTATTATTTTTTAATCCTCACTTGTATTTTTTCCATTGGTTTTCAGATAGAATGGAAGGGTAGGGAGAGAAAGAGAGGGAAACATCTGTGTGAGCGACACATTGATTGGTTGGTTCCCACAGGCAACCTGACCAGGTCCAGGGATCAAATCCACAACCCAGGTACTTGCCCTTGACCAGGAATCAAAACCCTCAACCCTTCAATCCTCTGGCTGACACTCAAGCCACTGAGAAAAACTAGCCAGGGCTCATCACTCATCTTTATTTAGATGCGGGTAAAAGTTGGGGAAGAGGTCCCTTGGGAGGACAGCTGGGGAATATTAGGAGGCCCTGTGGCTTTAGGAGCCTGAGTGGAGCTATCTCCTGCCTGGAGTGAGGAAGGTGTCCCTTTGGCTTTGGAGAAATGGAGGTCACTGCCAGGGCCCCAGAGGGATGCAAGGAGTGGGCCTCTTTAGCCTTTGCTCCTGGCCAGTGCTCAGCTAAAGGGCTCCAGGCAGAGGGGCCCTCACAGTCTCCTGGTCAAGGGGTGAGGAGGTGGGGCTTACAGCAAACATGGAATGTGGGGTGGGGGAGGAATGATGGCACAGCAGGGGAGGCTGAGCCTCTACCCCCCTCCACCAAGAGAGAGTGTGAGTGTGTGGCTTGGGGTGAGGGGTTGTAAAATGAGATTGTGGGATCCTGGATGGAGCAGGAGTAAGAAGCCAGGGAGGAGCTGAGGGGTGATTCTGGAAGGAGGAGCCCTTTAAGTCAGGTTCTGGGTGCAGCAGTCCAGGAAAGGCTGCAGTGGGCTTCTTGCAGTGCCTGGCTTCTCCCCCTCCCTCTGGGCCTCAACCCTCTTTGTCCCTATTAAGTGGGCCACCAACTGCTAGCTAACTAGAGCCCCAACACCTCGCTCCCCTCAGGACCACAGGGCCCAGAGTTCTGTGTGAAACCTCTGGGTCTGCAGTTCCTACCAGGCTTCCTGTCCATCTAAATGTGAGTCCCCAGCCTGGTCATCTGCCCCCACCCTCCTCCTCCTCTCTCCTACTCATACATCTATGCTTCCTCTTCACACACCATCTCCCACTGCAGCACCCTGTCCTCTCAGCTTAGTTGGAGCCCCTATTTCCTTCCTGACAAGCTCTCTCAGGTCTGGATTTATTTCACTCCACTCCCTATGTTAAATGAAATCATCTCCCTACCAACCTTGTGTTGCTCACAAGGATAGGTACTGATAAAACTGCAAGAAACATGGGACCCTTAGGGACTGAGGTCACATGCCATTTTTTATCACCCGAGGATACATTTCCATTGGTTTTAGAGAAAGAAGAAGGGGAAGTGGGGATGAGGGAGAGAGAGAGACACACACAGACATGAGAAACATTGATTGGCTGTCCCCCATACTCGCACTGACCTGGGACCAAACCTGAACCTAGGTATATACCTGACCCGAAATCAAACCCACAACTTTTTCGTGTACAGGATGACACTCCAACGAACTGAGCCATGTGGCCAGAGCACACATAATTATTTATCGCCCTCCAATCTGAGGCCATGAAATGGATGTCAGGAAGGTCCTTCTGCATCTTCTCTCTCCTATTAATGCCCTTAATTCTAAAATGGTATGTGAATTTTCTAATTCCCTTATTTTTTTTTACATGCCCTGACATCCAGACTGCTTTTCATCCTGCCCTGGCTATTCCCATTCTTGGGTCGAGGTGAAGTAAGCTTGGAATTCTTGGGCTGCTAGTGTCCTCTAGCATGCAGCTAGGGTGAGGCTTGGAAGGCCTGAGCCTCCAGGTACCACAATCCTAAGAGTAGCTAGTTTCTGTGTAATTAGGGAGGAGGCAGAGATGATAGTGTCAGCCCAAAGGACAGTCTTGTTGCTGCTTCCAGGCATTGTCCAGAAACAGCAGTAGCAGCAATCTATGAAATCTACCCAGGAAAGGAAGAGCTGCCCCTTCCCAAAGTGAACAGGAATGGAGCCCCTGAAGTACCCATTTACCATTTTTGCCCCCACTTCTGTCCCATCATCAGATTTCTCAGATGCATTAGAGAAGCATTGGGACATTATTAACAAGTGGATGGGGACTTGACTCAGTGACTTAAGAGACAGATCAATTGTGATAAGGAGCTCTTTGGGAGGTATTCAGTATTTTTTAAAAATTTCTTTATTGATTAAGGTATTACATATATGTCCTTATTCCCCCATTACCCCCCCTCCCCACTCATGCCCTCATCCCCCTGTTGTCTGTGTCCATTGGTTAGGCTTATATGCATGCATACAAGTCCTTTGGTTGATCTCTCCCCCTTACCCCCACCCTACCGTACCTTCCCTCTGAGGTTTGATGGTCTGATTGATGCTTTTCTGTCTCTGGATCTGTTGTTCATCAGTTTATGTTGTTCATTATATTCCATAAATGAGTGAGATCATGTGATATTTATCTTCCTCTGACTGGCTTATTTCACTTAGCATAATGCTCTCCAGTTCCAAATGTCCATACTACCCAAAGCAATCTATAGATTCAATGCATTCCCCATTAAAATACCAATGGCATATTTCACAGTCCTAGAACGAACTTTCCAAAAATTCACCTGGAATAAAAAAAGACCCCGAATAGCTGCAGCAATCCTGAGAAAGAAGAACAAAGTAGGTGGGATCTCAGTACCAGATATCAAGCTGTATTACAAAGCCACTGTTCTTAAAACAGCCTGGTACTGGCACAAGAACAGACATATAGATCAATGGAATAGAATAGAGAACCCAGAAATCAACCCAACCACTATGCTCAATTAATATTCAACAAAGGAGGCATGAATATACAATGGAGTCAAGACAGTCCCTTCAATAAATGGTGTTGGGAAAATTGGACAGATACATGCAAAAAAAAAAAGAAAGTCTTTTTCAGCTTCCCTTTTCTTCATGTCTAAAAATTCTACTTTGGAGTATGACCCTCCTCATTATAGCTTCTATATTTAGTTTTCCTCTTTTTCTCTATATTCCTAAAATTAATACCATACACAGACATTAAACTTGATGCTTATATATATTCATTGACATAGAAGGTCACCATATATAGTGCTTGGTGAAAAAATACACAGTATAGAACAGCAGTTATATTTGATCACTTTTATGTATACATATATTTATCTGGGTACACAATTATAAGGAAATATACAAAAGGACATTCATCAAAGGGCTGACAATGGCTATATGAGTGGAGAGTTTCAGGTGATTTGTACTTTAGTTTTTCTATTTTCCTACATTTTTAAAGGTTTAACAAAGTGTTCTACTCCTTTCATAAAACAAAGTCAGCAAGGAAATAGATGCACAGAGAATAGACCCTTAGGGAGACAGAAGAGGGAGCAGGGACAGAGGTCAGGCCATCCCCTCCACTTTGCTGGCATCCAACACCTCCTCTTCCATGGATTAATTCATGCAGATAGAAATATACTCCCATTTTTCCTCATCATCAGTTTTTTAGTATATCTAAGGATTTACTTAGGGCTGGGTCTATCACTTTACTGTGGCTCAGAGATCATTGTTTTTACTGGGTACCTCTTTTGACCCCTCCTCCTCTGTAGGTATCAGCTCATGCAAGGTGATGATCAGGTTCTCAAATACCTGGGCCTTTTTGCTCTCATTGTCACAGGTTTCCTTGGAGTGGCCCTCTTTTCTACAATATGAACAGTGGGTTGTGTATTTTCGCTTCCTGGCTCTACGCATATCCCCAGAACCATCATTCTTATACCCGGAACCACCACTGATGGAAGGAGACTGGACCTGGGAACTGTTGGGGGAATCAATGACCAATGTCTGATCCTGAGGTGGGACCCTGTCTCTGAGGGGAGGGGCACCCATGGATGGAAGTGGAGGGTCTACCAGGATCACATCCTCATCTGAGTCATTGATGATATCATCTAGCTCTATCACATTGCAGTCAGCACTGCCGATCACTATCCGTAGGGAACCCTGAAATGCCACTGGGCTGGTTGCCCTCTCCAACATTGACTCATATCTCTTGGCCTGCTTCCGATTAATAAAAGTGTCATCCCAATCCTCCTCCTCCCTTATCATCTTGATTAACTCCAGGAAATTGGGAAAACACTCCTGCTCATTTGCATACATCCTGAGAAGATGCTTCAGCCTATAGTGCAGGTCCCCATTCAGCTCAGCCCCTAAAAGGAGCTGGTGTAGGCGAGTCTGGTTTGCATTTTTCTCGGCTATGATCCCTGCCTGAATTGCATTTTGGAGCTGTACTTCTATACGGATCACATAAAGGGAGGCTTTCTCCCCTTGTGCCTGCAGGGTGTTAAAAAATTTACCATGGGCAGTGATACTGCTTTCAGACTCCCCAAACACCAATTTCATTGCCCTTAAGAAATCTGCCACACTTAGGCTGGGGTTGGCTGCCTGGAGCAAATGCATGACCTCCCGGGCAGGGCCCCTAAGGGCGCTTGAGCTTCTCCTCCTCAGACATATTCCAATCTGGCAGGACCCCATTGACTTGGATTAGCCAGTTTTCAAAGGTTTCTTCCCCTTGGGCTGGTACCGCTCTGCAGGTAAACAAATTCATGTTTCTTTCTGCCATGTTGAACCTTAAAGGACCAAGACTCCTCCCCAAAGACCTCAACATGGAAGGGGCCCAAGGAGGCAAGGGTGTGTTTTGCCGCCGGCTATTACCCACATGAGTAATGATGCTAGCCATGACCAAATGATCAATGATCGCCTATATGTATAACAAGATGCTCAGGCTTTTAGAAAAGCCTAATCTGCAGGAGGAATTCCCGAAGCAATATTCCTGGGCTCTGCCTTCCTTGTATCTCAATAGGAGCTGTAAAAAAAGTGGCGGGGCGGATGGAGGGGGTAAAGTCAATAAGGTAGTAGACCTCAGGGAAGCAGACTGCAATAGGTTTCTCAACCTTCCTGAACATCCTGCAGTACATTTTATATTTGCCCACTGCCCTAAAATTAACCTTCAGGAAACTGTCAATTACAACCTTCTGGAGCTAAGGGGTGTCCCATGCTAACAAGGATGCTTTTCAGAGCCACATCCATCCCCTCCTACCAATCCTCCAGGAGGGAGGAGGATGGGCAAACTGTAGCTTGGAATTCCAGGTAAAATAGTGTGTGGAGCTGAACCAGGCGCTCAAAATAGAGTGCAATGGTCTAAGTCTTACAGATTTGTGGTAATAAATGAGATTAAACTCTTGGTCTCAGGTTTCAACTATAACCCCTTCTCAAAGTTTGCCAGTTATTCCTCAGATTCTTACCAGAGCTCGAAAACAAGGGCACACCTTTATTTCACTTCCAGACTCTGCAACAGGTTCCCTCTGTGAGAAAGTTCCTTTCTGGGGTAGGTCGACCTTTTACCACTCAGGGTCGAATATTCCAGTCCTCAGATTGCATCATCGTGGATGTTAGGTCAGAGAGAGCCCAGGATCGGATACATGCAGACATGACAAGATAATGGACTTCCCCTGGAATGTCTCACAGATCAAGGTGCCAGACACAGATACCAGCTTCTTCTCCCTGAATTCACATACCCCCACACAGATAAGAACTTCGTCCTGAATATTCCGCCCATTCCCTGCAGCAGAGAATTCCTCAGCTCATGTCCCCGCCCCTCACCCAACCGCAGTATAAAAAAAGCGCCCCCCTCCCTGTTGTCGTGAATCCACGTGCCCTGTCCTTGGGGTACGTGGGTCTCCCGGGGACGCAGAATAAACCTTTTCCTTTCCTTTCTTTTCTGATTCACTGGACTCTATTTCTTGCGCCGCCTCCTGAGCCACCTAACCTAACAGTGGAGGGCAAGGCAGGGAAGAGAAGAATCAGAAGCAGCCTCATTCCCACCACCACCCAACCACCCAACCACCCAACCACCGCTGTATCCAGACAGAAAATTCCCTCTCCCATCTTCTGAATACAAGCCAAAGCGACCCCTACATTACATTTTCTCAAGGAAATCTTCAGCCTACCAGCTCTGCAATCAGCCACACAGATTTCAAGTTCTCATTTGGCTTTGAAGGTCTACCACCTAGAAAGGGAATAGGAGTTGGAACGAACACCAACATATTCCCCTCCAGGAAGAGATGAATGAAAAGGGTTTCAAGGCAGATAGCTAGCGATTCATCCCCACTCCTTTCCCCTAACTACCCCTCCTGAAAACGACCCCCCTCCTCAGTCTAGGCAAATCCTACCCACTAGGCAGCATCCAGTGACACCCCCACCTCCTCCCTCCAGCCGGGCTATGGGAGAGCTCCTTCCCCTGCCTCACAGTTTTCGATTCCCCAAGCGTGGAGCCGCCCAGTACTGCTGGAGCTTCCCTGAGCCTTTCACCACGCCAGGCAGTCGCACCCCCTTTCTTTACCTGTACTCATCCGGTGGACAGTGGATGATGCTGAGTGGACAGCAAGGTATGCAGCCTTCAGATCTCTGAGGCCCTGAGGCGGGGGTGGGGGTAGGATGTTGCTTCCTAGGCCACTAAGCGAATTGGGGCTGCTAAAAGGAGCTGCTCTGCAAGGCCGCCCAGCAAGGGGGAGCTGAGTTGAGGCCTCATAGTTCCCACAGCAGCGGAGGCGGCCCCTTCTTACCCACAGAGCCCTCCCAGCAGCCATGCTTCTTTCAGCCTTTGCCCATTGAGACAAAAGAGCATAATGAGCCTGGCGGCGCGGCCAATCAGTGGGACGCGGGGGCGGCCTCCCTGGTCAGCCTCAGCCCAAGCCATAGCTAGCAAAAGGGGGGAGCTACTCGCGGGGGCTGCGGCACACAGGCGCGAGAGCCAGCGTAGTGTCAAGTGCAGCTGGGAAGCACCGGACTCGGCCGATTTGCATTTTACCCGTGAGTTTGTTGCTTTTCTCTTTGCTTCCCTTCTACCACTCCCCTTCTACCTTACTTTCCTTAGCACTCTGCGACTGGATGTCTTAAGCACAAGGTGGGACAGAAATCAAGTGAACAATAAGAGTTCCTCACCTTTGTATAGTAGAGGGAATGGGGGAAAGCATTTACTGAGAGCTTTCTACTTGCAGATGCTCTTGCATTAACATTCATTGATTCTTCTCAGCAGCCTTGGGAAGAAGGTAGCAGAGTGCCCATTTCATAGAGAGGGGGCTTAAGCGCCCAGGCAATATGGTTAGGAAGTGCGGAGCTAAGAGCTCATGCCCAAGTCAACATGTCTGATTTCAAAAGCTGTCTCTTGTGAACACTCCTCCCTCCCTACTCTCAGATTGAGGGTTAGTGGAAAAGAGCCAAAGTGGAGATTGGAGGGCTCATTTAGAATTACATAGAAATAGTCAGCAAGGACTACTCTCTCTATTTCATAGATAAGGAAACAGAGAGGTTAAGTATGTTGCCTGGAACCACATAGCAAATAAGCATCAGCTTCGATTTTGCATCCAAGTCTGCTGCTCTCTGAATGTTATTTGCTCAATTGAGCTTTTTTTTACATTAGTGTTCTCAAACCTTATCAACAGCAAGCAGTCTTGGTGTGCTGGTAGTGTAGAGGGAGGGGATGAGGAGGCTGCAGGGAGAGGGGTGTGGGAAGACATGGGCAGCTTTTACATTACCCATTATACCCAAGAGGAAAGTAAGGTAACTTTCTTTCTCTTTTTTACACTAAAACAAGTTGCCAGTTTATTTTTTTTTAAAGTAAAACAGTATTTCTACAGCTTATGGCCCTAAAAGAGATAAAGCTCAGAGGTGAAATGACACCTGAAATTACAAGGTGAAGCCAAAATTTGGACCAAATCTCTCTGATGCCAGAACCCATGCTATTAACCAAAGTGTGGGTACAAGGCTGGCTGCCTCAGAATCATTTTGGAGAGTTTGTGAAAAATGTAGATTCCTGAGACCCACCTCTGGGGGATTTGGATTTACTAAGACTGGAATGGGGAGTATGATTTATATTTTTAAATACTACCATTGTTAATTCTGAGGTGTAGAGAGATTTGTGAACCACATCAGGTGAGTAGGCCTGCTGCCAATGTACCTGTCCACAGTATATCTGTCATGAGATGCAACTCCAGAGCAGAGATTCCTACCTAGGGTCTTTCCTGAAATTGTTGGCAAAGAATTTGGACCCTGTCTATCTTTCTGAGTCCACAGCTTGGTAGATTTTCAAATAAGTCAGCCACCCAGAAATGGTTAAGAACCACTTCCCTACAACCTTTCTTTATAGCATCTTCCTCTTTCAACTTGATTTTGAGAAAGAAGTGTGAGAACGAAACAATTTGATCTAAACCAAAACCATAGCTCTCTGCTGCTGATAGAGCTCTTTCATTTCCTGGCTTCAGGACAGGTTGCTAGGTTGCCCTTCTGTGAGCTCTTGAGGGGACCTCTCCTTTGCTGGATTTTCCATCACTGGCCCCAGAGAAGTAGCAACTCCATGGAAACGGCATGCAGGGCTGTCCATAGTGAACGGGTTGTGAAGCCAGGGGCTGGGAAACCTGCTCCATTTTCCGTGACTTCTGGTTCTTGGAGAGCAGGTCTTTACTTCACTTACTAGTATGTCAATTATGGCTAGAAGGCTTCCTATGAGTCTTGTTCTTGACTTCTGTTGCTTGAAAGCAAATGAACAATCTGATTCCCTTTTACTGATGAGATCATCTTCAACCTGCCAAGGTACTTCACCTGCTCCTTTCTGCCTTCTTATTTACAGCCCCAATACCTAGAGTTCCTTGAAGTAAACAATTCAGATTTGGAGATGAAGCACTTTCCATTTGAACACTGTGGACTTTTTCTTGTGGATGGAACAGTGAATGGGGTAGAGGAGGGAAGTAGAAGGTTCATCTTACACAGTCAGGAGTGATGCTGGAAGTAGCTCTTAGGTTTCCTTTCCAGTGGTTTTCAACCTTCTGGCCCTTTAAATACAGTTCCTCATGTTGTGACCCAACCATAAAATTATTTTCGTTGCTACTTCATAACTGTAATGTTGCTACTGTTATGAATTGTAATGTAAATATCTGATATGCAGGATGGTCTTAGGCGACCCCTGTGAAAGGGTCGTTTGACCACCAAAGGGGTCGCGACCCACAGGTTGAGAACTGCTGCAAGTTTAGACTCTTGCTTCTGCTCTCCAATCCCATGACATCTAACCCTGGGGTTCAGTAGATTCTTCTGTGTTTAAATTGACTTCCTCACCAAATTAGGTGATCTGCAGTTGACCTGGTGAGGGTGGGTCAAATAGGACAAATAATAGATCTTAAAGCTCTGACAAAAAAATAGTGAAAGGAAATGGATTGTGTAAATGTGCCTGGATCTGGTCATTAGAACAAAGTGGGAAGGTCTCTGCCCAAGGCTGGGAGGAAGATTTGCTCATTTGGTTCCAACTGGGTACAGAGCATCCCTTATCTCTGGCCTCAATATGTGGACTGTGTTTCAATTCATGGCTTTATTGAGACCACATTTTCCAATTTCTACAAAGGAACCTTAATAGCCCAAAGTTTAGGGAGATAAAAGCTTTCAGTTGAACAGTTGAAACAACAATGGTTGTCCTTGACTGCCTGCCTCTGTGCCAGGAACTTTCCATCTGTTATCTTATTTAAGCTTCTCAGCAACCCTGTCAAGACAGGCATGCTATTCCATTTTGCAGATCCAGAAATGGATTTTTTGGGAGGTTAAGTAAATTGCATAAGCCACACAGCTGGTTAGTGGAGGTACTGGGACTCCAATGCAGGGCTGTCAAACTCCAAAAGCCATGAATAGTTCTTTTTTGCTGTCTTCCAAACAAATAATTTGAAAATGGACTCTGCAGATGACCCAGTACATTAGACTGATTTTAGCCT